CACATTATATATTAACTGAATAAAGTGTATGGACTGGGAGGGAACCAGTGGACAAATGTTCCACTTAGCTGCTAGGAGACCAGTCATTTTGTGATGTCACAGCTCCTCAGGTTGAGGGCCACTATGGTGTGAACTACCTATCTGTGTAGGCCTGCCAAGACAGCCTTTGAAGCTTCAGGCTTGAAATTATGCTGATGTGGAAGGCAGCTGAAGAACGGTTTCCTTGACATGGCCCACATTTCCTCGGAATGTCAAGATGTCTCGCCTAATGTTGGATCTACTGATTCAGAAACCTCCCTTACATCTGCCTTGTGTGATGACCCATACCCTGAAGACTTGGACTTGAGGTCTCTGGTTGAAGAAAATGCCTTTCAGGCTTTGTGTGAAGTGACCTTGATAAAAAGACCCCGTTATGCAGTCTGTGCCTCTGAATCAGATGAAGACAATGATTTTCTTTCTATGACCTTTCCCAGAAAACTGTGGAAAATAGTTGAAAGTGATCAAATTAAGTCTATTTGGTGGGATGAGAAGGGAACTTCCATAGTGATTAATGAAGAACTCTTTAAGAAAGAAGTTTTGGAAAGAAAGGCCCCTTTCAGAATATTTGACACTGATAATATGAAAAGTTTAGTTCGTCAACTTAACCTGTATGGTTTTAGTAAAATGCGACAGAATATTCAAAGATCAGCTTCTCTAGCTGACTTTCTGGCAGAAGAAAAAGTACTCTCAGTCTTAAACAAGGTATGTAGAAATTTTCAGATACAATTTATATAAGAAATATATAAACTTTTATTTTGTAGAAAATAATGTTCATTTATAAGAGCTGAAAACATATCTTTGAAATCATATTAAACACCTTTCAAATATTTTGTATAAATGTAGGACTACTTGAGCATCAACATTCAAGATTATAGGGAATTTTCCTCATAACTTTGAACCTTATCAATGAACTCTATTTCAGTGAAAGTCCTGAAACCTTTTGAAGTAGCATCCCTAGTTACTGGAAATACACAACACATTTTTGCTTGGCAATCATAACCAAATGTCTGTGCTAAATAAGTACATTTTCAAACATATCAGCAGTGTACTCACCAGTCCTCAGCATTTCTGACACCTGTGCCTGGTTTCAAGCAAGGTAATTTATCCTCAAGCTGGGGGTTAGGAGGGTTAGGAGGGGGCCTGGAATGGGAGATGGGGTGGGACTCAGGCAGTGTGGGAGCAAAGTTCTGCTCACTGGCTCACCTTCTGCTGTGTGGCCTGAACCTAACAGGTTTGGGGTAGTCTGAGGCCCCAGGTTTGGGGACACCTGGACATGTATTGTTCTATGACATTAAGTTTTTGTGTTGAAACTGAAATCATAATTCATAGAGTTAGGTTTGTTACGGTTTTGTACCTTGGTTGAAAATGTCACTAAAGTACTTTCTCCTTTGCTTTTAGTTACAGTGCTATCATAATCCCAATTTTAAACGAGGGTGTCCCCAACTTTTAGTAAGGATTAAAAGAAGACGTGGGATTAAAACTGCTTCTTCAGCAACTTCATTAGTTCAAGATTTCAACAAGAAGCACTTTGGAGCTGAGGGTCATGTGAATAACCCTAATTCTGGTTATGTTGCTGAAAGAAGTGGGGAAAGTGTATTTTCACACTCCAAAAATTTAAATATGTCTCTACTAGGAAATCCTGCTACCAGCCAGAGAATGGCTAAGACAACTGAGCCAATCAGGACTGCTTTTGCTCCTCCGTCATCTACTTTACTTCGACCATCAGGACAAATTTTAATGAATCAAAATGCTCTTTCAAGGCAGTTGACCACCTTTCCTGTGCACTCACGTAGCAGCTACACTCAAGCCAACATTCACATTGGGAATTTCATAACCACCACAACTCCTTCTGAGAACCACAGTATTTCTCCCTTACACAGAAGTTATTTTGATAAAATGGGGGAGCCTTCCCTTTTTCCAAACACATATCTTTATTCACCAGTCATTGATGGTCTTCCGATTAACCTGCAACCAGCAGGCAACCCAAGCTTCCCAATGCCAGTGACCGCTGATGCATCCGCTGCCTCTCCTTTAAGGTCAACTCCTCCACCACCTTCGCCAGAGGTACATCATTGTAATTACAACTGATCTACCAAAGAACTCCGAGATGAAGCCACAATTAACATTTGTATTTGCAAATCAGCAAAATGCCAGCAAATCTTTTTGAACAATAAATTCCCACATTCATCTTTAAAAAACAAAACAAAGTATATGCGTGTTTGGAGAAGGGAGGAGGGGGTGGGGAGAAAAATTATTAGACAGTCCTCACAGACTTCACACTTTAATCTCAGCATTATTGTACCTATAACCAAATCAATATCACTCATTGAAACAAAAAAAAAGATTTAAAACACAAATTTACCAACCATCTATTATTCCATGAAACGATGACATTCATATAAACTGCATAGGGAGCCAAAACATTTATTGTTTTGTAGAAATGTTCTATAGATTCTATAGAACTTCTCTGTGATGTCATCATCTCTTGCCTCATCAAAACCTTTTACCTGGAAAAAATGTCACACAAGAATAAGGCTAAGAAAGGCACCTCCCAGAGTTTCCCCAAATGAGTGATTTTACCTTTAACAAGGCTTACTTATGTGACTTGGTGACTGTTAGTACTGTAAAATCAATTAAATGTGGCTTAGAGCAGGGTGGATCAAGTAGATCCATACCCAAGTATGGAAAGTTGATCCATAGTCAATGATGGTTTAATAAGTTGGATATTTTGATGACTAATTTTGTTCATGCTTAACCCTCTAATATAGACAAATTAATGTTGGCATTAAGTTGTTAATCCTACATTAAAGGAAATTGTTTTGAATACCAGTTTATTACTCTATACTAGTTACCTTGTGGATGAAAGGGATAGGCTCTGGAGGCTACAGAACCTTTGCAAACCCAGAAATGTACAGATGATTTCACCTCAGGAAAGAGAGTAGGAGACAGCTGAATGATTGCTGTGCTTTCCTATTTCAGAGGGAGTCCTGAGATCATCTGAGCCAGGTTAATAGGTACTGGAAACCTCTGATAAATCCTAGAGAATGTTAGGAAAATCTGGTCAGCGTCCAAAAAGCTAAAGGCGAAAATAAGTTGGCATCTTCCAACAGTGGAATTTTTATGCCTCAGTCAGTCTATACCAAGGACTATGATATGTCAGACCTTCTCTTAGAACCACTTCATCCTTATAACCTTGAACAAATTTTATCCTCTTGGAGTCTAAATTTCACCATCCAGGTATTTATCTCATGGAGTTGTGCGGTTAGTGCCTCTGGAATGTAAGACTCTAGCAGTGGTTAACTGGATGCTCTTTGAACTCTCTTCCCCTCTCCTTAACATTCAGACCTCTCTCTTACCCATATAATTTGTAATAATGTGAGGTAAATTCCATTTGTCAATAACAAATGTGTCTCTAGAGTCTTGGGTCAACAGGAATTGTGAGTGATCTGTGTTTTCAGATCAAATTAAAGTATTTAAATATTATTACAACTGATCAAATATTTTTGCAAGATAATTCACCAAGCCCAAGGATGTCATTCTTTTCCAAACAGCACTTTGAGGCTTGCTAGCTGCAGTACATGAAAATCCACACTTCTTTTAGTTTTTTTCATACCAAATATGAGCAGTGACATCCTTTCATTTATCAGTTCTCACTATGTTTTTCAGTAATACATATAAAAATCTCATAAACAGTTTTCCAAAATATAAAATATGTATAAAGTTTCCCTATGCCCAGAGTTCAGCTAGTATGTTTTACCAGAATAGACTCAAGTGAAACTAAAGATAATTTTATAGTAGTTGACTTCTGACTTATGAGTATATTCCAAATTTGAATTAATTAAAAAATATGAATATACATCATTGTGGAATGGCTAAAAATGTATACCAAATTGTTTGTTACTTTATCAATTCCATCAACCATTTATGCAATAAATATTAATGAGCACCTACTGTTTGCCAGGCAATGTGTCTGGGACCACAAAGTGAGACTACGTAATCCTGACATCAAAAAGTTTGCCCTAATGAAAAAGATATGCGAACAAATACAGTTCTGTAAGATGACTGACTGATACAAGAGAAAGTGATCCAAGAGCAGTGGGGAAATATGAGAAAGGTCTAGGTCCTCCTTCTTGGGGAACTAGGGAGCCTCCTCAGAGGAGGTGTGCTGAGACCAGAAGGATGAGTGGGAGATCACCAGGTGGGTGAGAAGGAAGAAGCGGTCTGTCAGAGAACAGAACAAGAAAAGCTCGGCGGCCTGAGGGAGCGTGGGGTGGTCAGGGAATATGGGAGAGTGGGTTGCATTGTTAAAGAGTAAATCACTGTGAAAGGCAGAAGCAGGAAGGGCTAGTGAGAAATGAAGCCAAACAGGTCGGGAGAGGCCAGATCATACAAGCCTGTAGAGCAGGCAAAGGTATGCCAATGTTTTTTCTCTCTGTAGGTGGTGGGGGAAGTTATTGAAGACTTTTGAGTACAGAAGTTTCATAATTATATGAGTATGTTCCTTTTCCCAATAACAATATTATGATTCTTTTGTTGTTTACAAGTTACAAAAATGGCAAACACCAACCCCTTTGTTCCCAGGAGTTTCAATGGTTCTTGTTGTAACAGAGTTCAGGAATGCCAAAAGAAATATTTGAACTAAAATGATATATCAGAATTACAATAAGAGCCTGTGAGCAGATTTTTAGTTAACAGGTTTTTAACAGGCTGTGATGCAATTCTTAATGGAGAAGATTAAATTATAACAGATAGCCTGTGAACACTGGAAAGTTGGCTGTGTGTGTTTGTATTCCTCCGTGAATTAAAAGGCTTATATAGGATTAGATTGTTGAGATTCTTAGAGAAAATCCGTATACATGAATGAAAACTTTCCATTCATTTTCTTTATCTCTAACAGCAAAGCAGTGAGTCTGTCCAGATAAATTTCACTTAAGTTGAGCATTTTTTTTTTATAATTTCAGGGGTTAAACACCTGAAAGGCCAGAGTAAATCAGCATTCCCCGAAGAAGAAGAAGGCGTCAATGAAAGAGAAGAGCAATGGGACCATTAATTAGGGGTCTGCAGCAAGAAGACTCCTTGGGAATAACTGAACTATTCACTTTTCTGAACAACCCATGGAAAGCCATTGCTTGACTTCCAGAAGCATTCTCCACCTCTGCTCTCTACACTCATACACTTGTAGTACACCTCCTCGGAAGCCCTCCTTGATTGGACCTTAGAACTAAGTACAGGTTGTTCCATATCATTTACAAGTCAAAAACAAGCATTTATTTTAGAGTGATTTTTCTTTTTAATGACATTGACATTTGCAAATGTGTGAGTGTTCTAACTTTGTTATTGCTGAGCTTAATCCCTGATGTTCTACTGATATAGTTTGCCTTCTAAGGTCAAATGTAAATAGCATCAATTTAAGAGTAAAAAATAAATATTAAATACATTTAGACATGAATATGTGTCTGGGCTTAACTTACAGAGTAATATTTAAAAAATATTAAAATTTAATACTTTTTGTTAACTTTTAAGTTATGATCTATACATGGTATTTATTTCAAAATAATTAATAAATGCCAGATTTCTTGATTGAAAGACCACAATATATTAGTGTTTAGACTAGATATTATAAAAGAAAAATGCTAAATGTAAAATAAAATATGCAAAGTCTCCCTTGCCACACTTTCTGTTATTATTTGAAATATGAGCTATTTCCTACTGCATTTTAGTGAGTCATTAGCATTTTATAAATCTTCTATTATCATAAAATAAGAAAAGCCATTAGTTCATGCCTATAGTCATTCATTAATTCAACAACTATTTTTTATGAGTTTATCTCTGGAAAGGCACTTTGTCGAGGGTTATGAATATAAAGAAAAATAATTTCTAGAACTGGCAGAGAAGATAAAGCATTAGTATAAAGCAAGGTTTTCTAAGACAGTATATATTTATTAAACATGGCTTTTGATAATTCGAAGTTCTGGTCTCCTAAACAATGTTATTTACGGCATTGTAAATTTAGTGGGGATGGAGGAATGCCCAGCTTGGTTCCTACACTGATGATATTAGTGAGGTTCAAATGTTTCATGGATAAAAAAATGAAAAGATTTCTAAAAGTCAGTAAAAAGAGAAATTAATATGGGGGGAAAATCAATTGTGAATTCCATTGTGGGATCTTAATATCAAGATTAAATGAAATAAAACTGTTGTTTTTAATTTTGAATGTGATGTTTAAATATAGAGATTAAGAGAAAATATGTATGAATTTATAATACAATATAGTAGAGATGATCATTTTCCTTCATATATTTTCCACAAGAAAATAAATGCAAAACACAGTGATAAGTAGTATCTCAAGTATGAATGAGTACTCTACTTGTGAGTTTCTTCTTTTTTCTTCCATTTCCTTCCTTCCTCCCTCCCTTCCTTCTCTTCTCTCCTTCCTTCTTCCCCTCCCCTCCCCCTCCCTCCCCCTCCCCTCCCCTCCCCTCCCCTCCCCTCCCCTCTCCTCTCCTCTTCTTTCCTTCTCCTCTCCCCTTGACTTTCTTTTTTTGTTTTCTTTTCCTGTTTGAGCCAGTTTTACCCACAACTTTTTGGAGTTTCTAGACCACCTGCTATGACTGTCTGATTTCCTAAGTTTCACTCTACTTAAAACCTGATTAAGGCACATATTTTCTTTACTCAATGTTGAATTATTTGTGTTTGGAAAATGTCCTGATACCCCTTGAGATTATTTGAGCTCCCTGAGGTGCTTAAATACAAAATTGCCCTTTGCTTTCCTTGAATAGACACTTTCATTGCTGTTTTTTTGTTTGTTTGTTTGTTTAAAGATTGAGACAAACAAAATAAATCAAAGTTTTTGCTGATTTTATAATGCCATTTGGGAAATAAACAGCATGGCTTCTGGATTCTTCTCTTCTGCTTCCATTCTTTAAAAAAAACACAAAAAGATAAAAATTAAAAGCATAAATTTTCCTTGAAAATTTTGGTTTCTTCTATTTTATTCTTTACTCTCAAAACACAGGGATCACAATTAAAAGCATAAGTTGTCCTTGGGAAATGTGTCAGTTTTCTCAGAAATTTGAAGGAAACCAGATGAGATAATGGCTCTTCAGTTTCCTTTTCACACAGTACTTACAGTTTACAACAAAATTTTTTCAAGAAGATAACTTGGCTTCAGTTTGGCTGAATGGGCAAAGAAACTTTCTGATCAAAACAAAAGAAAAACTTTATCTTCCCCAGACCACATTTACAGTGTAACACAATGGATAGTAGATGGGCTTTGAGTCACTCTGACTTGGGTTCAGATTAAACCTCTGCCAAATTTTAAACTCAGTTTTTCTATTTGTAAAGTGGATACAGTCATTCTTACCCCTATTGTTTTTCTTGTGTGTGTGTGCGTGAAAATTAAATAAGACCTGTGCAATGCTTTGCTCAGCTTAGTGAGCATTTAATAATCAGTGCCTATTATTATTATTAGAGTGAGAAAGGACCTGAGGCTATCTATCCAGACCTCACCTGATACATGATCCTCTTCAACGTCACAGACAAGCGATGGGTCACCTCACTTATTCCTGAATAAGCCAGATGAGCCCCAAACCCAGTCGAAGAGCTCTCATTTTCCTTCCGTGTGTTAAGCTCTTTCTCTTGCCCATTCCCTCCTTTCCTATACCACAGCCGTTGGGACACTGATGTCGTTTCCTAAGTGATCTCATCTCTGCGATAAAACATCACCAGTTCTTGGCCACCTGCTTGTGGGTCCTCTTCAGTTGTGTGTCCTGAATCTAAGAAAGGTTATGTCTGGGTGGGTAAGTTGAAGATTCTTTTTTATCCCCCAAAACACGAGAAACTGAAGCATAGAATGTGGCAGAGCAAAGGAGGATTCTAGGCCAGAGTTCTTTCTATTAGACAATAATTTGGTAACTCTTTTTTTCTTCTCAGAGTTTTCCAGGGTAAGGGCCATCATAAAAATCAGAATTCTTAGACTATTTTCTGTCCTCAAAAAAGTTGTCACCATCCATTTTTAATTATAATCAATCATGCCAATATTTTCTACATCATGGAAGTAGATTATTTTAGGTTGGCCGGGGACAAAATATTTTTGTTTTTCTATTTGTAAATACTGTTATAATCTGTTACAAAAGATATATAATCAACAACCCCAGATTTATAATTTTATAGCTATTGTTGCTTAGAATGAGGTAAACTTAAAGTATAGGTATATTTTAAATAAATTTAAAGAAAAATATTAAATACAGCAGAGGTGGAACTTCAAAATCACAAAAGTGATCTACAATTTAATGAAATTTTGGAAACACTGGTTTTGGTATCATCATAGCAAGTAACTTAAGTGTAAACATTTCAGAGTTCATTTAATTATAATATGAATTTATGAATTCATAAATAAACCACATATATTACATTAATTTAAAAAATTTGTTTCTTTACCTGCATCTAAAAGTAGTGTGAAGTTAGGCTGGGTGAGATTTCGATAGCCTTACTCTAATAATAAAAATAGGCAGCAATTATTAACAGTGAAAGTGCAAACTGAATAGAAAAAGCGTGTCTAACTACTTTGAATGTTCACACTCCTACATAATTTTGAGTTCTTATTTTCTCTGAAGGAGGAGGATGGGGGAAGCAATGTCTTCACTTTTCTAAGTCCTTGATTTCACAAACCAGTCTTCAAAGTGCCAGCAGGTATATTAATTATTAACAATGTTTACATTGCTGAAATGTGAAATGTGTTAAAGAAATTAAGTTTTAGATTTCATATCATCATAACATTCTGAAGTACTAAATATCAGAGGAAGAAGAGATCCAAAAAACAATGGATCGCATTGTGGTTTTAGATGACCCTGTAAGTACTCACAATGCAAAACTTTGCAAGTATCCCACATAATTCACCCAGAAAAGGGGATAAGTTTTCTACTTTGCAATGTTCTATGAATTAAATGAAATAATCTGCATGAATGTACAGCTGCCTGATTGCACTTTGTACAGAGGCTGCCATTCAAGTACAACTCTTTCCTTGACATTTATATTGTGAGGCCCCTTCATTCTGTGGACAGACCAATTGGTTCAGCCACTTTCTTCTTTGCAGTTTGTACTTAGTTTATGCAGATAATTCAGCTTTGGTCTATAATGTGAAGATGTACCTGAGAGTGGATTAGAGAGAAAAGTAAGTAAAGAAGAAAACTCAAAGAATTCTACAAACTCAATGAAGAAACCGGAGAAATATTAAAATGGTATGAATTCATCTTCATTTTTTGTTTTTCCCTCAACATATATGACTTAGCATTTCCCCCCTTTTCTCTGACTTTTAGTACCAATGAGGTTGATTTGAGAGAATGAGCACAGTGAACCCTAGGGGCATATGATACTACCATATAAAAATTGTAAAAGTAATAGAATATTAGAGTATGTTCAGCATGTGATTTTTCATATTATCCAGAATAAGCATTTGGCAGCAAATAATAGAAAATGCAGCCAACAATGGCACAGGGGTTTGTTTATGTCATGCAGTAAAGTGCCCGGGACTGAAATTCTGGCTCAAGATACTAACAGGCATCCAGACACTTTTCATTTTTCTTACCACTCTTGAATTTATTCCTTTATGGTCCCAGGAGAACTGTTGGCTTCTAATCTGTTCCAAGCAAACAGACTGGTGGGAAGAGAAAGGGAAAGGATCCAGAGCAGAGAAGCAAAACTGTCCCAGAATCCCTCAACTAATGTCTCATTTGCCTGAACTGCGTCACAAGACCACCCTTGGTGCAAAGGAGTTGGAGAAAGTAAATATTTTCAACCAAGCTCTTTACCACCTTCCAACTAAATTAAGGGTCTCTTTGTAAGGTGTAAAGTGAGAATGGATATCAGTTGAGCAGTGCACAGTATCTGCTTCCCCAGTGAACAGAATTCAGGGACTTTTTCCCTGGGGCACCTAAAGGAAGCACGAGCTACTTAGACATCTCAAGAAGTTGAAAACATTAATACTCTCTGGATAGTTTTTACTTCTTAAAATGCATAAATTTGATAATATTTATGATAGACCTGAAGCTGGATAGAACAATTCAGATATCCTTCATTATTCTACACTATTTTTAGTATTGTAGCTTGGTGTAGTTTTTAAAAGTCTACGTTAAAAACAAGAGACCAATATTGTAGTTCATTATTCAATAAATATGCCTGAAATCCTATGGCATGCTAGACAATGTCTGGCATGCTAGACATTGCTTAAGTGCTGACAATTCAGGTACTAACAAGGTAGTTAAAGTC